TGTGTGGGTATGTTATAATAACATTATAATATATAATGTATATTATATATGAATTATACATATATATATATATATATATATATATATATATATATATATATATATATTATATGTGTAATATATAATATATATTAGATATTATAATGTTATTATGCATATATTATATACACAGTGAGTAAAAAAAAAAATATTTGCACAAATTCATCACTTTCTGAAGTAATTCCTCACAAAGAGAAAAATATCATGACGTGTTGTTAACGTATATTAAAAGAAAGCAATATTTTCTCTTCCTTTTCCGTGTTTATTTAATTCTCTCTGAGAGAGAGAAAGATAAATATGGAAATATTCTTTTTTTACAGACTGCAATTTACAAAAATCACTGCGACTCGTCACGACCGGACGGCTTCCCTCATTAAATCAATCGGTCCTCATGTAAAAACATATTTGCTATGTCTACGAGTTATAAACGTCAGCTAGTCGACCCTGAACGAATTCTTTCTCGCTCCGAGACGAACATCCGATAGTTTATTTTTATTTGACTGGCTATTGTCACATAGTGTAAGGATTTATGCTAATTGATGTCGTAACACGAACGATGTAGCGATATTAATTCAGTGTTCCGTCCATATCAAAAAGTTTCCAGAAATCCATGCGTTAAATCCGTTCATCGCATTCCATATCGCGTACGTAATAATGAATCTTCTCGCTTTCAGAGGGTATATTATCTATCTCTGGAATATTATATGGGAAGATCACTGCAAAATACGATGATTAATCTGGGAATACAAGGAGCATGCGACGAGGCGATGTATCAGGTAAGCTATACTTTACGTTGTATTTTAATCCAGATTGAAATGAAAGTTTTACGATTTTTATTATATCTTCTTTTAAAAAAGATCGTTCCATTTTCCAAAATCATCGTGATAATAATAGCTATTCTTGAATCATTTTTATCTTGTATCTTTATTTAGCAATATCTGTTCCATTTTCTATAATTATTTTGATAACAATAGCTATTTTTTTTACAGATGGGGTTGGACATCGAGGAATTAGAGGAGATGGAGGAAGATGCTGGACTCGGTAACGGAGGTCTAGGTCGTCTAGCCGCCTGCTTCTTGGACAGCATGGCCACGTTGGGATTGGCCGCTTACGGCTACGGAATACGTTACGAATACGGTATATTTGCGCAGAAAATCAAGCACGGCGAACAAGTAGAAGAACCGGATGACTGGTTGAGATACGGCAACCCGTGGGAAAAAGCTCGACCAGAATATATGTTGCCTGTTAATTTTTACGGGAACGTGATTGATACTCCTGAGGGAAAGAAATGGGTGAATACGCAGGTATGAAGTTATTTTATTAGTTTTTGTTGGTTCCTGGTTATACCATCAATAATGTGTCACTACGCATATATGTTGAGGTGAACATCAAATATACCTTTGCATAAAAAATATCCTATGCCTTTTGCGATATTCGCAATAATAATCGAGATATTAATTAAAGAAGATTGATGAATAATCACGATATGATAAATGAGCTGTAGTGACGATGTGTGTTGTAAACTTGTACATTAGGTCAAATTGAACAAAAAAGCTCTTTATCATTTTGCAAATAACTACGTAGGTTTTTAGTTATTAATAAAAGAAAGTTGTTACATGATTATGTGCGATGATGCACAAATCTTCTTTAATTAATATCTATAAATCTATATGGTCATTTGCAAAATGGTAGAGGACTTTTTTGTTTATTTTTTGATCTAATAATAGTATATAATGTATAATGTAAATATATAAGTATATAATGGCAGACGGCGCTACTACAGCTCGCGCGTGATCACTCTTTAATTAATATTTTGAAATTTATTGTGAATATCGCAAAATAATATGGGACTTTTATGATCACCTCAATCCGTTCTACGTTCACAAAAATTGCGAAGGCGAATTTGGGATACTTTGTCTATATATATATATATATATATATATACTAATTGATTTATGTTGTTTTGTTATATTGTATTAATATTATTTGTGGCAGATTGTATTTGCGATGCCCTACGATAATCCAATTCCCGGCTACAAAAACAACGTTGTTAACACCTTGAGACTCTGGTCTGCAAAGTCACCAGTAGAGTTTAATTTGAAATTCTGTAAGTATCAGTTCCGACAAATAAATGTAATGTAGTAAACGGTTTTTTCCACGAAAGTATATCATCGACTTGTACGTTTTCAGTTAACGACGGTGACTATATACAGGCTGTAATCGATCGTAATCTAGCGGAGAACATCTCCAGAGTTCTTTATCCTAACGATAACTTCTTCGAAGGCAAGGAGCTCCGATTGAAGCAAGAATACTTTATGGTAGCCGCAACATTGCAGGATATTACTCGACGATATAAGTCTAGCAAGTTTGGTTCAAGGGAACATCATAGAACAGACTTCAGTGCTTTTCCCGATAAAGTGGCGATTCAACTAAATGACACGCATCCCTCTCTGGCTATTCCCGAGTTGATGAGAATTCTCGTGGACGTGGAGAAACTTCCCTGGGATGAGGTACGGTGCTGTTACTTTGCTTTGTCGCATCATTAAGATAATTGATATTCTTGAACGCCAATCTCTTAGAGAGATTTACCATGAAATCTGACATATTTTCGTATTCTACACGCGTGAGAATTCATTTTTCATATTTCAGGCTTGGGATATTACAACACGTACATGTGCTTACACAAATCACACCGTTCTTCCTGAAGCGCTGGAACGATGGCCTACTAGTATGTTGGAGTGCATCTTGCCGAGGCACTTGCAAATTATTTACCAGATAAACCATTTGCACCTTGAAAGGGTTGCGGCTAAGTATCCTGGTGACTTTGATCGCCTTCGTCGAATGTCCCTGATTGAAGAGGACGGTGAAAAAAGGGTTAACATGGCGCATCTATCGATTGTTGGTAGCCACGCTATAAACGGAGTTGCTCGTATACATTCGGAAATCCTCAAAGATAGCGTGTATGTTCTATATCAAATCGTATTTGTAATTCTACTTGAATATTTAATTATATTAACATATTATATTTTTATATGATCTTTTTCTTTCTTTCATACTTATCAAGCAAGGAGAAAGTTACAAAGTTCTGAGAAGACTGATAACAAAACTAATCTATTCTTTCCGTTTCTTTAGTTTCCGAGACTTTTACGAACTGGCACCGGAAGAATTCCAAAACAAAACGAACGGGATCACACCGAGAAGATGGCTGCTACTCTGCAATCCAAATCTATCAGATATAATTGAAGAAGTCGGTATCCAGCTGTGTATGATGTAACTTAAAATATTGTGTCGTATTTACATATTATATCATTTATATACATATATATATATATAAATTACATATTAGGATTATTATGCATAAAAGAATTGAAAATTCTAGAATTTTCAAAAAGTTTTCTGTGTAACGATTTAATACGATTTGTTTCAGAAAATTGGCAGTGAATGGACGGTCCACCTGGAGCAGTTGTCACAGCTAAAGAAATGGGCAAAGGATCCCGTATTTCAACGTAACGTTGTTAAGGTTAAACAGGAGAACAAACTACGATTAGCCCAGATATTGGAGAAAGAGTATGGCGTTGAAGTTAATCCTGCATCTATCTTCGACATTCAGGTGAGAATTAGCGGTTATTTTTTAACACAGTGATATTTATTCACGCGACACGCAAATTCAGCGACGCTTTGGTCGATATAATTAGAAAAATTAATTGTACATTGTTATGTTGGTAGGTGAAACGCATACACGAATACAAGCGACAGTTGTTGAACTGTCTGCACGTCATCACCCTGTACAATCGAATAAAAAGAGACCCGTCTGCGCCATTTGTCCCCAGAACCGTGATGATAGGCGGCAAGGCCGCGCCAGGTTATCACCTAGCGAAAAAGATCATCAAGCTTATCTGCAGCGTCGCCAAAATCGTCAACAACGACCCGATCGTCGGCGACAAGCTCAAGCTGATCTTCCTTGAGAATTACCGAGTAACCTTGGCCGAAAAGATCATTCCCGCCGCGGACTTGAGCGAACAGATTTCGACTGCTGGCACCGAGGCATCTGGCACCGGTAACATGAAGTTTATGGTCAGTAATTTTTGGCAGTGAAATGAAGCTAAGATTATGCATTCACTTATAAGTTTACCGACTTATGAGCTATTGACAGTTCACGAATTTATCCGTAAAGGTAGAAGCAAAACTGTGAATGATTTGAATTATTTTGTTATTTATTTATTATTTATTTGTTATATTTATTATATATTTTTATTCCTGATTTATTATTATTTTATTTACATCTTTTTTTATTTTACAATATAATTTTATTTAACACAGTGTGTTTAGTTATTCTTCAATTATTTAATATTTAATTATTTAATTATTCTCATTACAAATTTTGTATAATAAAATTGTACGTTACGATTATAGTTGAACGGTGCGTTGACTATCGGCACTTTGGATGGCGCGAACGTAGAAATGGCTGAGGAAATGGGCAACGAGAATATCTTTATATTTGGTATGACGGTGGATGAAGTGGAAGCTTTGAAGAAGAAAGGTTACAACGCGTACGATTACTACAACAAATTGCCAGAAGCGAAGCAGTGTATTGATCAAATCCAAGGAGGATTCTTCAGTCCGAATAATCCCGATGAATTCCGAGACATTGCGGATGTGCTGCTCAAGTGGGATAGATTCCTGCTTTTGGCCGATTTCGAGAGTTATATAAAGATGCAGGAACGCGTCAGCCAAGTCTATCAGGTACCTGATTAATTTTGAAGGTTTACTTTTTAATCTTGAAAATTTTTATTTAATAATAATAAATAAAAGTGTTCGCGTGATTTTATATGCGATACAAGACACGATATCTATCATTTAGAAAAAGAATTTTCTTAACAATTTTATTATTTAAACAATTCAGTTACTGCGATAAATTTTGTTACATAACATCTTTACAACATCTTTACAACTGCTCAATTGTTTTAGGACGAATGTAAATGGGTGGAGATGGCGATTCACAACATAGCATCGTCGGGAAAATTCTCGTCAGATCGTACAATTGCGGAGTATTCGCGCGAGATATGGGACGTAGAGCCGAGCTGGAAGAAACTTCCAGATCCGCACGAGCCTCGCGACATTTAAATACGTTGACGTAATTACTTTTTCATAATATGTTCCGATACACGTCCGTTTCCTTCCGCGACTAACTCTGTCCAGTCGTCACAGACAACAACGAACTTTAAGTCAATAACTGACGCCGTTCAGATCGGTCGCGCTAAAGTAATAGAGACTATATCGTGTGTGAGGACACGTAATCTGATTTCTTATATTCTATTATATATTCTATGGATATATATATATATTTTTTTTTTTTTTCAGGAATACGAAATTTTTAACGATGAACACTCGCGCTTGCTTAAATATGTCACATATCTTTCGAGAGATTTACTGTTAATATTCTTCCATGTTCAAATATACATACTCGTTACAATGACGCACAACTTTTCTATGACGTGTCTTCCATGTGATCATGCGGATATCTACTTGGAACAATCCTCTAGTCTTAATTGTGTTATACTTCCAAGGTAGACATTGACAAGCAGTATGAAATTTGCTCGTTTCAGAGGGATAAACGTTCTACTCGATTGTGTAGAAATATTCTGCATTTCTTTCTATCTCAAGATCGTTTAGTTTAAGTGTATCTTAATCTGAGATTCAAATTTAATAATTTGACTATTTTAATAATTACTTTCGTAAGTAACAAAATAAAGACCGTGATTGTGGATCACATAAAAAAACATACAATTCCTATATAATGTTCCTGGATATAATATTTCGATATTATATAAGGATATATTATCGAATTATTAGGATATATATATATATATATATATATATATATATATATATATATATATATATATATATA